AAAGAAATAACAAATAATTACTTTCTGAGAAGGACAAAGGTGAAAAAAATGAAACATGATAACAGACCAAATGCATAAAGGGGCTGAATCAATCTGCTCAGGAACTGGTCAGCGTTTCTTAAATTTTCGATGCTTTTCTTTCCCACCTTTATGTTCCACTGCTGTTATTGCTTAAGGTTATTTCCCAACAATGAAACAAAAGCTCTGAATATATCTAAGATTTTACTGTTGTTTCTTGAATTCTCACTTCAAGTCATCAATAATGTTCAGCTTCACAAATCGGTCTCTGCCACAGAGGTGCTGCCAAGGGAATATTACCCAGTTCTGGGGACTGCAGCCGAAGAGCTGGTGGGGACAGTTTCCTACTCTGTCTCCTCCATTTCTCCCCTCATTCAGATGGAGGTGTTTTGGTCCCAGCTTAAGCAAAATAAACAGGCCATATCCAAATGATGGAGAAAGGAAACAGTGCAGAAATTCCTGGAATTTATTTTTTTTTAATAGGCAGTTATATGCTTGCAGAACTGCTTTAACTACAGCCCCTTTTGCAGCCATGTGAGCTAAGTGACTCTTGGCAGCCGCAGGCTGTCCCCACGCCTGTGGGCCAACTGCTACAGGGGAACTTGATGCACTTTTTCAGTGAATTTCAAAACCTTTGCTGAAGTGCAGAAACATACAGGCCAAGATGATACTCTAGTTCTGTTCTATGTTCTCACAGTTATAAATGTCTGTGCTCATAACCTGCTCCAGTCCTTCCAAATATCAATTTCTTCCCCCAAGCCAGTGGGTTCTCAAAGAAGCATCTCAGTAAAACTCTTGTACGAATTAAACACTGCTAAGAATTTTTTTTTTTTCTTAAACTTATAAAAAAACAGCCAAAACATTGTTGCTAAACTTCCCCCAAAAGTCCTCAGGAAGACAATTATGAGGAAATGTTTAAGACCCAAGAGAAACAATTTGGCAGAGTAGAAGAAAGCAAATCCAGAATATATACTGCAATAGACAATTATAGGCTTAACATAAGGCACAATCATCACACTTGTCATAGTGCAATCAGATTTGTAACTCAAAATTAACTTTTACATGCGTTTTATGTTTCTCTACATTAACAGTCTGTTGCCTAATGGCTCTCTGTGGAACCTCTGGCAAACTCCATTTACCGAAAAAAACCAAAAAAAGGAAACATTTCAGAGGATCAGTATTGTCCTCAACGCTCACAGCAACACTATCCAGGTTTTGGTAGCTATCCAGGGCAGTCATTTTATAAGTCACCTTTAATTATCAAATTCCTTCTTCTCCAACATTTCTATTTTTAAAATGTTTTTTGTGCACCAGAATTTCAGACTAAGGGAAACATAAAGCAAATACAGGCCATGTAACATGTACGTTATTGCAGAATAAGCGATAAAATATCCAATATTTCATCCTTCACAGGAGACTACGTATTGTTCACTTGGCAATAAAGTGTATAAATTACACTTTGATTTTCTTGTTTCACTTCTCTTTACCATGCCTGGTGTGCTGGTGTGTCAAGAGAATTTGCCTTTTTGAAGTTTTGCTGACAGCGTTACAGAACCATTTTCTCTGGAGCATCCTTCTGAAACTTGTTTTTTGAAACCCTTTTTACACTATACCAATTTTGCTACCTCTGCAAAAAATATTACTCGCCTGAGGGTTTTGCTGCTTCTTTCAGTCATCCTGCCAGGGGGCTGATTGTTTTTGATCGCTAAAGTCAAAACTCCCTGAAAATGGACTATTCAAGCCGAAGAGCATTTCACATGAGCACGGCAGGTTTTCCAGTCACCTTACTTGTCTATATTATTAACACATTTACTATGTGATGGAGATTATAAAATCATTTGAGCTGGCTGCACTGACAATCTGGGCAGAAAAATAATTCTATTGCTTGATATTCTGGAATGCCAATCATAGAAAAAAAGCATTTGACCACTTAGTGAAGAGTGCAGCGTAAATTAAATAAACGGACATATAGGTGACATAGATAGATCTTTAAAAGCTAAGGTATCAGTGCTGGAATTTCTCACATGAATCATTTAACCAAATTTTCTTGTTTTCACTATGCAACTGGAAAATGGGAAGACTATTAGTAATCTTTGGTGCAATTACAACATAAAATGATATCCATTAGATATCAAAATGTCCACCGCATCATTTGTATCATTTTCTCCCCTATGAAGAATCACTCCTGTGTTGTTTTATCTATTGTTTCACTGCCTTAGGCAAGAGGGTTTCATCCATTTCCTTGCTACAGCCTGAAATATGTATATATGGTATAATACGCTGAGGTATCTAAAATTAAGACAGCATTACTGATCTGAGTGAATTCAATGTTTGTAAAGATGATGAGTGAGACAGCCTGAAATATGTATATATGGTATAATACGCTGAGGTATCTAAAATTAAGACAGCATTACTGATCTGAGTGAATTCAATGTTTGTAAAGATGATGAGTGAGACAGCCTGAAATATGTATATATGGTATAATACGCTGAGGTATCTAAAATTAAGACAGCATTACTGATCTGAGTGAATTCAATGTTTGTAAAGATGATGAGTGAGACAGCCTGAAATATGTATATATGGTATAATACGCTGAGGTATCTAAAATTAAGACAGCATTACTGATCTGAGTGAATTCAATGTTTGTAAAGATGATGAGTGAGACAGCCTGAAATATGTATATATGGTATAATACGCTGAGGTATCTAAAATTAAGACAGCATTACTGATCTGAGTGAATTCAATGTTTGTAAAGATGATGAGTGAGACAGCCTGAAATATGTATATATGGTATAATACGCTGAGGTATCTAAAATTAAGACAGCATTACTGATCTGAGTGAATTCAATGTTTGTAAAGATGATGAGTGAGACAGCCTGAAATATGTATATATGGTATAATACGCTGAGGTATCTAAAATTAAGACAGCATTACTGATCTGAGTGAATTCAATGTTTGTAAAGATGATGAGTGAGGTATGCCATTGACTTCCAATTATACTTTTATACCATTTATCAGAGCCTCAGCACAGGAATGTTTCATTCTCCCTCCCTTTTTTTTTAGTTTGTGGGGTTTTTTTCTTTTTTTTTTTTTTTTTTTTTTTTTTTTTTTTTTTTTTAATATAGTAGTTCTGAATTATTTGTTTAACCTTACAAAAACCTGGGGACTTTCAAACAGAGTGGCTGGATGCTATCTACTAGCCACTGATATGTTTAATAAATCATTCCCTGTATTTAAAGGGTAATGATGTTCCTGGGCTAGGCACAGTGTGGGCTGCATGATGTGAGGCTGGAAAAAGAAGGGGTAAAGGCAAATTCTTCCTGCACCAGCACTGAGACAGGGCAGCAGCCGACACCTGGGACTGCCTGAGCAAGATGATTTTGAGATTCCTTGTGCATTCAAGTGTGGGTCAAAATCTGAAAGAACTGTAGAAAAACAGAGCTAGAAGAGACTGCAAAAAACTATGGTCAGCCCCTCTTCCCCAACGAAGAGTTACTCGAGGTGTGTCATTGCTGACACATGCATTTCTAGCCTGTTCTTATAAACCTTTGAAGACAGAGGTGCCACACATTACGCAGGCAATCTTCTCCAGAGCTTCACTATTCCCAGTATTGAGAAGTCCAACCCCATTCAGCACTGCTGTGATTAGGCCATTATAGCTTTTCCTATATATCCATATATAGAGAATAGCTTGTTCCATTCTTCCTTGTGATGGGTTTTTACATACTCATAGACACTTCACATCTTCACTTTTATGTCCCTTCTTCCAACTGAACAACCCGCATCTTTCAGTTCTTCCCTTAAGCCACGGGTGTCTCATCGTTTTCCTGTTTTACTGCTAGATCCTCCCTTGAAAGGAAATATACTTGAAAAATGTTTACTACACTTGAAAAACTGTATTATAGAGTTTCTGATAGGAAAGGTTGAAGTGATTACAAGTTCTTTAATAGAATGTTTAACTGGCACAATGAAAACTCCAAGGTAAAACACCCTGAAAAAAGTTCATAAACACTAATCTAGCAGCAATGGGTGTCAGCCTCATTCAGCAAGATATCTTAGTCATTTCACAGCTGAAGTAAAATTGATTAATCATGTATTGAACTAGAGGGAAGGAAATAGAAAGAATCACATCAAAGACAGAAAAAGGTAGACTAGACTGAAAAAAGATTTTTGAGTTGGACACAAACATTCTGGAGGATGAGAAGGAAAAAACATGAGCTAGTAAGAGAATGCCAGGTAAAACAAACAAGTGGAAGAAATGCACCCATAACCCTATAGAAAGAGTTATCAAAACATCTGTGACTGCCAGAACTCTTGAAAAGTAAGATGATAAATAAATAACTAAAAAGATCAGAAAAAAAAACAGACAGACAGCATAAAGGTGCAGATGAGAAAGAAAAAGAGGAAGTACATGGAAGAAACAAAGAGGTTTCAGAGACTCTCTTTCAGGAATTTTGGTGTATGAATCGAGAAGGATAAACATTATTTCATGCTCTTCTATTTCAAAACAAAAGTTACTGGAAAGAATAGATGCTGCCTTCTCATGCAGCATCTGTTTTCTGCTTCTATTGTAAGTCTGACCCAGCCCAGTTTCCTGTGAGTCCTTGTGCCCAGAGAATTAAAAGTGGTAAGATCACTTCTTCCGAACACGCATGACTTATTAGAGAGCAAAAACCTGCCTGAACGCACAGAAACAGCAGACATTTGACAAGTATCTTCAGGCTTTTGAGGGAAAATCTATTTAGCAGTTAGCACAGTTTAGCAGTGCACATTTATGTGATGCTTAGTATGATCGCCAGCACAGTTTCCATGTTTCATGTCCCAGAAACATCTTGAGCTTGATAAGAGATGTTCATATTGGAAATAGCGTGTGTCTCATATTGAGATTCAGGCTTGTGTAAAATAATACCAGTGTACACTTATGCGTGCTTTACTTTAAACAGAGAAAAATAAAGATGTGCAAATTAATAAACAGTGATTACCTCAGAGCAGCAGTTTTCCCATTTCTGTGAGTACATGTGACCTGCCTGGTTTGGTACCCAATTTGTATGTCCCAATATTTGTTCTCCTGCCTATTCTGTCTGTTTCGATTCCTCTTCTTCTTAATTAACTCCCGAGCCTCAGGATCCCGAACTGCCTTTTCTCTGTCTTTTTCCTTGTCTTTGTTCTTCCCTCGTTTCCTCGCCTGCCGTATTTGTCTCGAATGGGGCACTGAGCACGCACTCCAGGGTCCCACGTTTAGGCTATACAGGCTTTCTTCACCAGCACATGGGCTAGACTGACAGATCTGGAATTCGGTGAGGTTAGGACAAGCAGACCCACCGAACTGCGGTGGAGCCACAACGTGCCGAGTTCGATGCTGAAGCCCGTTGCCGCAGGTCTTTGAGCACTCCGACCAGGGGCCAAATTCGGCCACGATGCAGTCCTGCCGGCATGGGATGAGGCATGCCTGCTCCTGGCGGGGCTTTGGCTCAAAGTACTCGCAGATGACGTCCTCAGCTGGCACCCCATTGGACTTCTGGATACAGGTGATGTCCCTTGTCTGGATCCCTTCTTCTCCTCTGACACACTCCAGGGGCTTCTCGTGGCTCCGGGAGAGGACGGGCCGGCACTGGTTCCAGCTGCCGATCTGCCAGTCGTACAGTTCCTTGTGCCAGTCGCAGACCCGAAAGCAGCTCTGCTGGTTGTCCGGCCGCTCTGGCTGCCTGCAGTTTGTGGGCAGTGTGGTCCAGCCCTCCACGTGGGCGCACCACACCGCTCGCGTCTGGATGCCACCTGGACCACATTCATCTCCCATGCATCTCCCCCATGGACCTGGAAAACAAGAGAAGATGCTAACATTGCACGCTTAATTGCTCTTCTGCCAAGCACGGAGAAACAATTTTGCGTTTCCTCTATTTCTAAGAATTTCATTCTTGGAGAAACTCAAACTTGGAAAACACAAAACAAGTATGGGATTATTCTTCATATTCAAATCTATTTTTATGATTACAGATACGTTTCAACTTTTTATCCTAGACAAATTGACTATTTAATTTCAAGAACATACACAGGAATTAATCCCATTAGAGAACTACGAATTGAACAATCACAAAGTGATCACATAGTTTTGACTAGGAAGATAGGAGCCAACATCCGCCCCTCCAAGGTATGAACCTAATCTCCTCTCTCGCCTGCATGCATACTCTTTCCTGGACTGTTTCAGTTTTTGCTTCGCATTTCTACTGCACTACTCTTTACACTCCAATGCCAATTAATATGACACTCTCTTCTTTCCATATTATGTTAAATAATGAGAACAACATAATAGATTTTGAAAAATAGGGGTAATTTCAGGTAGGCCACTTCTTTCCTTTATTATAACTAAATAAAAATTAAACACCAGTTAAAGAATGTTTGTCCCACACAATCTGTGAAATGATTATAAGGAATAAGTTCTGGAAGACAGAGACATACCAGCTGGTAACTGTCTGAAGAACAGAAGTTATTGCTTTTTTAAAATCTTTAAGTTCTATGGTAAATACTCTACATGTTGTTATAATTAGTGTCAAAAAAACCCAATAAAAACCTAAATCCTTGAAAGCTGATATGGTTGCTTTTTCCATTATTAAAAACTGTAATATTCACCCAGTTCAACTCTTAAAATCCACAAATCAGAGGGTAAAAATCTGTATTTTTCCATTTTTTTAAGACCTCCCCTCATACACACCATACATTGACGTACTATGAAAGAGGAAAAGAACAAGCAGTTCAGAAGAAAAACCTGTAACCATTTCCCAAAGAAGAGATGTCTCTCTGCAGACTGTTAGTCACACAGAAGACATTTTCTCTGACTGAGGAGTACTCATGTTCCGTGAAGAAACAGGCCACGCAATCCTCATTCATCTGAATGACCCCAGTAACAAGACTATTTGTGGGAGTAAATTTGCGAGAGGTGCTGGGCTGAGACTTTTTTATTTCCAAAGCAGGTTAACAGAATAATTCTGGCAGTGCACAAGAGTCGGTTCAATGAACTAGGGCAGGTACAAATTACTTACAACACTTCCTTACTGAATGACTGCAAGGATTATGAAGCCACATCTTATTACGATTCCCATGAGCTTTAAAACTCTCATTGGCTTCAACATAATTTTTAGCTGTTCATCCAACATTAACGTCAGTAGCAGTTTGGGAATGGGCTGATGGTAGGCTATACACTTAGCCTCTGCTCCTCATTGCCTCTTTTTCAAGCGGACATTGCAGCTGAACAGTTTGCTTGTGGTTCTAAAATCCTAAGCATTAATACCCAGTAGCAATGCCAGCTGGCAGAGACCGATTCAGCCCACGGAAACTCCTCCGTATTTTTTGCAGATTAAGTTTGAATTAGGGTTCCCAAGGTTTAGCTAGCTATCCAGAAGAATAAATGTATATTAAATACAAATACATTTCAGTTTCCATTTCAGCAAGATTACCTTACTTTATCTCTGACCAGGCTTCCACAAATGACATAATCGTGGTTATATTTAATTTAGGTGTATTTACACTCAGTTAAGAGAGATCATTTCCCCAGAACACCACTTTGAACACTCGCCAACTTTAAAAGAGTAAAGACTGCAGAACATCTCCAAATAAAGCAGAGAAACTAAAATAACCATGACTGAAATAAAGCTAAATAATTTATCTTGCAAACTACGAATTTCTGTCTCATCCGATCACTGCACCTTGTGTGTACCATGTGTGTTTAAAGAAGAAATCTCTCTTTTTAAAGATTAGGTCTTTACTGCACTCCAGATGAAAAGTTTGTCCATTTGGGATTCTACCAAATTTCCAATTGTCAATTATCCAAAAAATCACATTGTGATTTGTGCTTGACATCTAAGTAGCATCAATCCAATTTACTGACATCTTTATACTAATGCAAATGATAAAAATCTCAGCCTCAATGCACTAACTACTGCATTTGGCAATGTAAAGACAAAAAAAAAAAATCTGTATGTGACTAATAGTTTGCAAAAAGAAGATCTTTCATTAGATTACAAGATTGTTATTTTTAGAACTGGATCCAAAATAACAATGAGGTGCACAGATAGGCTTATGTATTAAATTGCATTATTCTGCTTTTGCTCTGAAGTAGTATGCAATTTTATAAAAGTATTGTCAGTGAGCACCAATAAACCATATTTACATGAACCTTTAAGCAACTACTCAGCCCCTCTAGGTTCATACAGTTGTTGACACAGAGCTATTAGTGATGTATCTGGCCCTCCCCCTTATCTACATTAAGTTGACTTTTAAGTTCAAATACAAAACAATCCATTTAGAGTACAAGGCTACAAGTACACCAAACGCCTAAATTTTCACTCTGCTGCACCCTTCTTTATACGACTACGACAGGGTCCTAAAGTGAGCCACAGCTTTGGGGCTGAGATCTGTGTAGGCTTTCTCCTTAGGGAGCTTCCTCAAAAGACTAAAGGGCTTCCACACTTGACCAAACCAAATTTCATTTGCACAGCAACTTCTGGAAGGGGGGGGGTGGGGGTGGGTGTTAAAGAAAGCAAGCTGAAAGGAACAGCCAGAAACAAAAAAGTGAGATGTTCACAATTCTTCCCCTGCCCTGTGAGCCTCCGTGGTGACTCTGTGCTTTCCTCCCATACAGTGAGTAGCAGCAAACTCTGTCCTGTGCTCTGTGGCCTCTAGAAATCCCACTCCCCATGCCATCTGGCCGCCTGCTCCCTGCCATACCCCCCACTCTCTCAAACTTTCTCTCTTTTCTATGCTATCTCACCCATCTTTGTAGATGGTTCCCCTAACTACTTCCTGAACAAATGTAATGCCAGGAGCAAAAAAGTGTAACCAGTACCATTTTTCACAACTAGCCACATTTTTCTTTGGGGTTATGGAAGATATAGACAAAAAAAAAAAAAAAAAAGGAAAAAAAATCCCTAACACTTCCATACTCAGTGCTCCTTTAGAATAAGAGTTTCAAGCTAACTTCCAATGAAATAATTTCAAAATGCTTATGAATAGCTCAGCAATCTCAACAGTTTACTTCAGTTGTCTTTTGGGGGTGGAAGAAGGGGAATTGCCATTTGTTACTTTCTTTAGCTTTTAAAAAATTAAAAAAAAAAAAAAACAGAATTGTTAGCAATAGGAACAGAAATTTGTTTTGACCAAAATTATTCTCAGAAATACCAAAACTTTTTTTTTTCCTTTGAAAACAATTTATGTCACCCACATTAACCAACATTTCCATTAGTTTTCAGTTGTACACTGCTTTGAAATCTTCAGTTAAGTTATCCACATTTTCTTTTAGGATCACAAGTCACTGTTGTTAACCTCAAGCACTTGCTTGTTGTTGCCATACGTTCTTTATATGGACCACAAAAAGAGATAGAGAAGCTCCTCTGCAAGTCCCTTTGCAGGTACCCATCTCTCTCCACCAGTTATAAAGAGAGCCTACAATAATTCACTTCTAACTTAAGTGGCCCCAAAGACATCGTAAGCATCAAGGCCAGACATGATTCTGATTTGAAAATATTCACAGAAAAGCAGGAAAAGAAATGTCTCTGAACTAAGGGGACTTTTATGACTCTGTCCAAATAACAAGAAATGCATCCTAAAGTAGTCTTGATCCACTGCCAATTTTTATCTCATTGCCACAGATTGAAGAGGAAGCACCCAGCACATGCTTACAATATTTCTTTGCCTGCTGGTCAAGACATCACTGAAGATACATGATGAAAAAACAGTGAAGGTAGAGGCTTTGAGTGATCCTCAGAAGTATGAGAAATCCATACAGATAACCTGCAGCATGCCTTTTATATGAGATCATTTTTATGGGCAGCACATTTACCACAACATTTGTAAGTGTGACATTTTGGGATATAATTAATCTCACAGAAGCTAGTGTAGCATAGATGTGCACGTGGGCAATGAAAAAGATGAGCAGAACGCAGTGAAATGAGTCTCACCCACTACCATCGCTTAAAGGCTGCGGGGGGTGGGGGTGGCTGCTCTTCCACAAATCCTCAGCTGATGTTAAGCACTAGTAACAACGACAGAAAGTCTTTAGGAAAGCTGTCGAGCCTAATCAAGGCCTCATATGATGTTTTAATTTGCTCTTTATGAATATTCTTTAGGTTGTCTCTTTCCCACTACAGCAGTCTTCAGGCAGACGCCCAGCCCTGCCTGCTGCGCGCCGATCCAGCGCGCCCGGGCAGCGGGATGTGCGCGCGCTCAAACCACCTCCCGCTGGGGAAAAAACCTGCTGCTGCGAATGCAAAGTAGCTTCTCTTAGGATGTCGCTTCAAACATATTTAGACGAATGAGTCATAGTTTACCTGTAGTGAGATGTACTTGTCTCATGCAAATACCATCGTTTATCTTCTTTTTGTTTAATCAGCATATTGCAAATGGCAGTTACAGAAATAAATAGGAATCTTGCTTCCTTTTTGTTGTTGGGAGTTGCCACTGAAGTCTTACTGAGTTTAAAATGTCATTTGTAATTCTTTGTCTTCTAAAAGAGATTACTCACTACAATAACACGCAAAAAATACAAATCTAAACTACAATATTAAGATTCCCTCTAAGCTTCTGGAGGATTAGCATTTATTTTTGTCAGGGAGCAGGAAAGTATGTGAATTAACCATTACTGAAAGTTTATTCTGAAATTTCAGGGAGTGATCACAATGGAGTCAAAAAATCAAGACAAAACCCCCACTAAGGCACTGATAGCTTTCCAGCTAACTGAGGACAAAGTAAGCTATCATAGTATTTATTATTCTGTACATTAATATTGTTTCAGGTATTAAAATTATCACTATTCGAAGAAGAAA